TACAGATTGCATTTAACCCCCGATAGTCCGTGCACAAACGTAAAGTCCCATCTTTCTTTTCTCTGAATAACACTGGCGCCACTAGGGGGGATTTAGCAGGCACTATGAAACCCCGGCTTACGTTTTTGTCAATGAATTCCCGCAATGCTCCCATTTCTTTTTGAGTCACTGAATACATTTTTGGGGTTGGGTATTTCTCTCCTGGCTCCAGCTCAATCTCACAGTCAGTGGGGCGGTGTGGCGGTAATTGGTCAGATTCAGCCTCACTAAAAACTTTCTCCAAGTCTCGATACTGCTTAGGGATTTCAGCAGCCCCTCCCTCGTGGGATTTCCCCCCTCGTCGTTGTTCATTAGTGGCTGCAAACCCCAGCTCCATACGTTGGCGAAGTTCCACCTTTTCGACCTCGCTCATGCCATCTGGGAAGGTTAAAGTCTTTTCCTGCCAGTTGAAGGTTAAAGTCTTTTCCTGCCAGGGTTCCACAACTCTAGCCAGGCCATTCCCAAAATGAGGGGTAATGGGCAAGCGGCGCCACCAGGCACTTAAAAGTCTCCCAGTGCGTCCCAACTCTTAGCTCAAAAGCCTCTGTATAGTAGCATACCGCACCGCCCCCCACTGCGGTTCCATCCACTTGCCTGAAAATTATGGGTGTTTTCAGCCAGCTTAGCAAGTCTCCTGTGGATGTAGGCTGCCTCAAATCCTTCTATCTCTTCGTGTAATCCCAGATAGACTCGATGATGTTGAGATCAGGGCTCTGTGGGGGCCAAACCATCACTTCCAGGACTCTTTGTTCTTCTTTACGCTGAAGATAGTTCTTAATGACATTGGCTGTGTGTTTGGGGTCATTGTCTTGCTGCAGAATAAATTTGTGGCCAATCACACGCCTCCCTGATGGTATGGCATGATGGATAAGTATCTGCCTGTATTTCTCAGCATTAAGGACACCACTGATCCTGACCAAATCTACAACTCCATTTGCAGAAATGCAGCTCCAAACTTGCAAGGGACCTCCACCATGCTTCACTGTTGCCTGCAGATACTCATTATTGTACCGCTCTCCAGCCCTTCGGCGAACAAACTGCCTCCTGCTACAGCCAAATCTTTCAAATTTTGATTC